GGAGTTAGTTACCCATAGAAGCAGGGAAGAAGAGGTTAAGAAGATCAACCCTTCCATTTTCACCCCTCTTAGCAAAATACAACACAAAGCTCTCAAGAACACATATTTCTCTCTCTAGAAATCCTATCAATCTTGCATAATGATTTACAATGATTTAAACCCTTCAAATAAGTAAAAGATCCTACCAAACGCCATTAATTTCGTGGCTAGAAATCCCTAAAAGAGTGCAGAACCATCCCTTCAATCAAGGGGATAACATTGGGTAAAACAATGAAGCCCATGACCTGCTATCTGCAGCTTGGTGGGCACTCGCGGGGTGCCATGGCTGGCTTCTACGCGCTGGCAAAGGAGCATCTTAGGGCTGTGGCGGCAACCAGCAGGTGCCCGTAAGAATTGGCGGGGCCCCGTGGATTCTGGAGGCTACTAGAATGAATTTATTTCATTCCTTGGAATTTAATGCCTCGATCATAAATTGGCGGGCACCTACAGGATTTGTGCATAAGGCTGGCGGGCGCCCGCAATGGTGTAACCTGGGCTCAAAACACTTCTCTTAATTTGACCTTTGGCTTGGCCCAATGACTCCATCTTCCTTCTTGGGCTCCTCAAAAAGTGTCCATAAGTTCAATGGATCATATCAGCTTAGTAAAACTGTAGAGCCCCTGCCTGGCATGCCTTGATCTTCAAGAACCCATAAAACATCATTTTTATTTCTTTTTGGGAAACAAACCTAAAAATACACAAAAACACGAAACTGAAGATAATCTATACAATAAAACCAACTAATAGACTTAACTAATGCAAATAAGGGCGCTTGAATATGCAATATTCGGTGCTTATCAACTGATTTCCACTAATGCTTAGCATCTTTAGAAAACTTGTAAGTGGCTAAAGTGATTTTCACATAATCATCTGTCGCATCCATAGAAGTCAAGTGGGTTTCTACTTGATCCATGTAGTCGTCCGCTACCATTTGGTCTACACCACCTTCAAACATCACTGGCATCAACTTAGAAAACCCTGAAATAAACTTGAGAAGTTTCTATGCTGGCATCTCCTCTACCTAAACTACCGGTTGTGGTACTAGTTACGATACTGGTTGTGGAAGAGTAACAATCGTAGCTCTCAAGGCACTCTATAACGAACGGTTTAGTGCTAGTTCCGCCGAACCTTCACCCTCTTCAACAGGTGCTTCAACATCATCCCTCCTAGTGGAAACACCTCTAGGGTTAATCAAGTCCCTAAGAAGTGTATCTCCTTCAACCTACTCCACTGGATTAGAGCTAGAACTTTCACCAACATCTCCTCTTGTCGGTCTAGAACCAATTCGTTTGGGTTTATTTTGTGGTGGCATCGTGCTATTAAATAAGGAAACTAGTCAATGATATGACGTTAAAGTCCACCATGGACGACTCAACATGAGATGATGCCGTACTAACACTTAGCATGCAAAACTATGCAAGAAACACTTTAGGATAAATATGTAAATATATAAACAAATAAGCAGTTAAGCATACTTCTTCAAATAATAAAACACGTAGCAAATAATCACATAGTCAATGCAAATAACTTCCCATACAACCCTATATAGGCCTCTACCCATCATCCTAAAGGTTTTTTGACCCGTTGCTCTAACACCATTGCTCGACCCGAACCCGTGGGTCCGAACCCTTAATCGAGTCCTTGCCTTGACCCGAGGTCAACTAGGTCATACCATCTATTTTCTGTGTCCATATATGTCATATGAGTTAATCCAAGGTCTTTAATTGCCCTAAGACACAACCTTACAATGAGGTTCAAATACATAGGTTAAGGAGGAATGGTCAGCCGGCTGATGGCCCTTGGTCGGCTGGCTGATACGATGGGATCGGTCGGCTGACCTACATGGTCAGCCTACTGAAACGGTTCTTAAACTTGCATACTCTTGGGACTTTGCTACAGAGGTGCGTCAGTCAGCTGGTGACAAGGTTCGGTTGGCCGAACCTAGGGTTTCAGTCGCCTGATGGTGAGGTTCAGCTGGCCGAGACATGGTTTCTTAAACCTAAACTCATTGGAATATTTGTTAGTTGCAACTTGCAATCTCCTCAACCTAGGCTCAAAGTGAGCTAAACCCATACTAACCTGATATGCAATCCAAGCCCGAATTCACGACAAAATATACAACATCATGCACATACAACCATTAAAGATTTCTTGAAACATATCATCATTCTCCCATTCAACATAAACATTTACATTGCTCCAATCTTACATCAACTTACTGTCATATGCCATGATTACAGTACAAGTTCATAGTTTACAAAATGATACATTTTGCTAGGGGTGGAGACTTTACAAAAGAATGAGTCCAAAATACACAAAAGTGACAAAAATATGGATTTATAATCCTCCTCAAGCTTTTAAAGGGTCTGCGTCAACTACTTCCTTCCCGAGTCCTGAAAATGTTAAATATAAAGAAGTAAACAAAATTGCTCAGTAGGTGGTGCCTAAGACACACCTCTTGTAACCCCGTGAATCCAAATAATGAATAAGGATAGAGGATAGAGGTCATGCTTTACTGAAAATGAGTGGAACATTAATTCCAAATTCAAAATAAACAATGCCACGCCATGAAAAGTGAGACTATGTATGTCGCTCCCCATTTTCAAATTTACTTCCATTCTCCACTTTTCAAACCGTTAACGTAACCCGTCTCTCGGTACCCCCTTAGCGACACGAGAGAAAGATTGACTATTGTCCCTGACCCTACCCTTGGTAACCTCATGGCGTCATTTGGAGCCAGATAACTCAACCACGCTAGGGCGATCTCCCTAATTCCCTCTAGGCTACATTAATACCATGGATCCTCGGTACCCCCTTGGCATCCAGGTTTTTACAAATTATTTTCTCAAAATATTTTTTCCAAAAATCCCCTTTTTCATTCATTTCAAATCATTTCCCTTCATTCATGCCCAATGACATACATGTATGGCTCATGCTTTCAATACTATGGAGATAAGAGATTTTCATATAACACAAATAAGCATTCTTTACAAGAAATTCAAGGAAAATCACATATGTTTACATACATCAATTCTAGCAAATTGACAACACAATAGGCATAGAAAATCAACACCTAGGCATGCTTTTCATACAAATCAACTAATACATATAATCATGAACTTTATATACCATAATAAAAATCATTCTAGGGGTAATTAAGATCAATTATACATGTTAGCAACAATTAACAAAAAATTGACTCACAAAGGAATAAGAAAATATGAATTAGAGACCCCTACCTCAAGAATTGCAAAAACCCCCAATTTGTGCCCTAGATCTCGAATTTCCTAAAGTGCACCAAATAAGGAATTGTTTCGATCAATTCGTAGATCTCGCTGTGATCTTTAATTTGCCGCAAACGGCACTTAAAAATACCAAATGGTGAGAATGGGATCAAAGTTTGAAGTTTTTTTAGCAAAAGGAAAAAGAAAAAGAGAAAGAGAGTGAGAGAGAGAGACTGCTGCGAAAGGGGAAGAAATGAGGCCCAAGTGATGGTTTTATGACCACTTAAAGTGGTGGTGGGTCTCACTTCCAAAAAATGATTTCTTTTCCCTTTATTTTTATTTTCTTTTTACACCACACACATATATATTTATACACATTTAATTCACAATCATATAAAACACATTAAATAAAATAGATATGATGCAAATGGACCCAATTGAAATCCTCGTATGCAACAATTCCGATAGTGGGTCTACACGGGACTGTCCGGCCCGAAAAATGAAAAAATACTAAAATGATTACCCTTATATTTCAAAGAGTACTGAACTCAATGAAATGCTCCAAACAACTCTCAGACACAACCGGCACACTCCGCAATGTCCGGTACGCAAAACGACAAAAGACGAAAATGCCCTTACAACAACAAATTTCCAGAAAAATGGTGAAAAATGGAAACATCACAATTATATTCTCAATATTTGCATCAGTACTACTTGTATTTATTTTGTATTGATTATGATTGATCACAAATTAAATTCGAATGCTTTCGTATGTTTTAGACAAAATGTTTTATATATATTTATTTAGTAAATTATTATTTTTGTCAAACAAATATTTTATTGTGATCAAGCCGGAAATAATTAAAGGTAACAAAATAATTATATTAATTATATTGTTGGATTGATGGCTTAATAATCCGATAAATAATTTTGCATAGAGGGGTCAAAGTGCAACATTGACTTAGAAGTTATTTACTATTTAATTGGAGTACAATTAATTTCTTTTAGTGGAGTAGAAATTAATTTATGAATTAACTGAATTGGGTCCATGGTTTAATGGACCAAACCAATTATTTATTTATAGTAGTCAAAAATATAGTAAGCCCAAAAGGATTCTCACCCATAACTCAAGTTGATATTGGAGTCCTATTAGAATTAAGATATGTGAATTAAGATTGAGAAGGATTTATTATTTCATTTCCTTATCTTTATTTTGCCTATATATACATAGGTCCATGTATATTTTAAGTGAGACTTTTGAAAGAAAAATGAATATATTTTCTCTATCTATTTTTAAGGTTTGCTTTATCTTCTAAAGGAGGCTATCACAAGCCTTACCTCCAAGGTCATTCATCGAGATATATTGGTGATTCCTGAAGGAAAGATTACTATCAAGAAGAAAGAGAAATGATCTTACTAAGAGATCTATAATAAATGAGAATATTCATTTTAGAAGAAAGATTTTAAATTTTCTCAAGCCTTTGATGTAAGTATTCAATTTATTAATTGAATGACACATCATATTTTATTTTTGCATAAAAATTGTCTATATGTGATGAATCAAGATCTATGTATGAAAATCTCTTTAAAAATTTTTAAAACTTGCACGTTTCGATAGGCATCAACGTGAGTGAAATTTTGTAGCAGAATTAATTACCATGCAATGTATAAAAGATAGAACTAAGAAAACTTTGTCAAACCTCTGGCTACACTCTATGCCACCGTGGCAGACTTATTATTGTTGACGGTGAATTAGATAGTTCAGGCAAATTCATTGGTGAAAAAGTTCAAAAATCATAGTGCAAATTATACAGAAAACCTAATCCAAATTTTTGCTAAGGAAGTGGTACACAAAATACAGAAAACCTAATCCAAATTTTTGCTAAGGAAGTGGTACATAAAATACACCATACATATATTTATATATGTGTCTTGGCCTTTATAATCTTGTGATCCATCATCTACTCTCTTCACCCTTGTTGGTTTGGAACTCAATATGACTAGCCTTCCTACCAAGCTGCTTATGATTCTTGCTTTTTTTGTTGCTGTTGCTGTTGCTGCTCTTGCTGTTGCAATTGTTTCGTAGAACTTTTATTATTGTGCATCCAAACCTTGAAAACCTGTCTCTTTACCCCAACTTGAGCACAAAACCTCTGGACCTCGGCATCATCTTCCTTCGGTATCCTCCACCCAACTCTTTCCGCAAGCTCCATCATCTTCTCTTTCTGCTCCTGCGTAAACTTGGTCCGAAACCGCTTCTTGGACAATGGTGGCATTGGTGGAGCCGTCGACTGGAATGTACAGTAGTTGAAATTGTTGAGATCCTCACTTGAAGACTCAGTCCCAGCACTACCACCGCCGCCGCCGCCGCCACCGCCACCGCCACCAAAAGCCATTTTCACAGGTTGAGCCATTGAAGCCATCCAATGATTTGTATGCACACTACCCATTGAGATCATCTTCTGATGATGCTGCAGCTTCAGTGCTTGTGATGGAGATGGCAATGGTGGATGTAGTTGAAGTGGATGTACTATGCGATCAGCATTGCCTTCCTTTACTGTTTTTTTCCGGTGAAAGTTGCGGTGGCAGTTACAAGCCGCGCACCTGAGAGCTTCGATGGTGCCTTCCTCACCGCTCGCCATGAACTCTCCGCATCCGTCCACCACGTTACCACCAATGCCCGCCGCGTGGTTCTTGAGACATTCACCGTATCTAGCAGGTGAAGCCAGTGGTGCTTTCAAGCTCAATCCACTTGATTTGGGGTCAATTTTGCGGAAAACCTGATCTGGGTCTGGAGGATGATGATCTAGGGTTTCCGATGATGACTGTTGTTGGAGGACAGGATTATAAGCTATAGAGCTTGCTGGGTTTCTCATTTCCTTTTCCTCACCTCTCAATTCCATTTTCTTGTCAGGCAATAAAACAGTTCAATCATTCATATAAAGCAGGCTCTTATATATAATATAAGAAGAAAAACAAATTTAAACAAGCAAATACTGAAATTATATTTAGAGATTATCAAAGTAGTTTAACTAGATCATTTGTACTCTTTTTCTTCATTTGGGTCCTAATATTCAACTTTTGGGTGCTAAACCCACCAACCCATTTAATTTCAACAGCTTGAAATGTATGTGTAGAGAGAGAAAAAATCCTAGGTCATTGCATAAGAAATTCCTAAATTTTTTGAAATGAAACAAAAGCAGAGTCTACAAGTCTACCTCAGGAGCACCACCACCACCACCACCACCTTAATTAGTGAAACTCATTAACTTCCTCAAGAGTCAAAATATATGCCAAGTAATTGACATGTATGTCTGAGAGAGAAAAGAGAGAAACCCTAGGATATTGCAATGGAAAGTTAAATGGAAATATATAAATAAAAGAACAAATGGACCCTAATCCTACCTCAGAAGCACCACCACCACCGCCTTACCGGCTCTAATTAAGTACCTTCCTTAAGAGAAAATATAAGGTAAGTAGAGACAAAGAAATATATATATATATATATGTAAGAGCTAAGAGAGCAAAAGAAATTAAAATCCCAAGTTATTGCAATGAGACAGTCAAATTAAGTTGAGAAATGAAGGCATAATTGGGCCCTAGCTACTCTACCTCAGAAAAAGCAGCAGCATCACCACCACCGCATTAGCACCAAATCTGTGTGTGTGTGAGAGAGAGAGAGATGGGGGTGAACACCGTGAACTGATTGGTTTGAGGTCTGTTCTGAGTGGATCCAACAAACCAAAATATGTATGTATGTATCCAACAAGAGACAGGTTGGTTGCTTGTGATGAAGCTAAGGAAATAGTAAGTGGGAAACAAGTGATGAGATTAAGGACTGAGCACAGGAAACAACCGACAAAGTCATGTTCCGTCCTCTCCCACGCCCTGCCACACCTGCTGGTCCCATCACCTCCCTGCCCCTCCTTAATTATTGCTTGCTCTCTCTCTTCTCTCTCCTCTCTCTCTCTCTCTCTCTTACCATTTCTTATCTCTGCAGCCTCAACTACTAGCATTACTTTGACACTCCAATTTCACGCAAAGAGATTAATTGATTCTCTTTCTCACAGCTATGCTCTGATGCCCACTTCCCTTTTATTTACTTTAATCCTCCAACAAATCTCAAACTTAATTTCTTCTTATATATCAAGATTATTTTTCTATTTATTTATACAGACAGCCTAACATCTCAAATAACCAAACTTACATTAGTTCGGCGGGTACAAACTCACTTTTTTAAAGGAGAGATCCAGATATGAATTCGTTTAACCTTAAAATAAAAACAAAAAAACAAAAATTAAAATCTCAAATAGAGGATTTATTATCAATGATTCAATATTAGGGTATTAGATCTTTTTTTTTTCTTTTTTTCTTATGTATTGTAGAGCGACAATGCAACTATTTAACAGTGCAACACTGCAACACGATATATTTATTATATATTATATTGGTGTTGCATTTTAAATGTAAATATATTAAAGGGAAAATTACATATAAATGGAGTCAAAGTTCCATATTTACTTAGAGACTGAGTCAAAGTTCCATATTTCTCTAAAATGGATTGCTGAGGTGGCACATAGTTTTTTACTGTTTAGAAAATTGTGGTGCCTAAAATGCCCTTCCCTAACAAAAAAGTAGTACCTTCAGTGCAAAAAAATAGTACCTTCAGTTCAAAAAAGTAGTACCTTTGGAGAAAAAGTAGTACCTTCGCGGGTGTTTAAAAAACATGGTACCTGGACGCCAAAAAGTAATACCTTCAGTTCAAAAAAGTAGTACCTTCGAAGAAAAAGTAGTACCTTCGCGGAAGGGTATTTTAGGCATCACAATTTCTAAACAGTAAAAAACCATGTGCCACCTCAGCAATCCATTTTAGAGAAATATGAAACTTTAACTCAGCCTCTAAGTAAATATGAAACTTTGACTCCATTTATATGTAATTTTCCCTATATTAAATTGATGTTGCACTGTTGACTTAATAATACACTAAATGGGATGGACCAAGAGAAGATTGGACCTAGTACCATCACTTAGAATGAGTAAAACAAAAAAATAGATCGAAAAGGAAATGGGTTGGTCCATCTTAATCTTTCATTCTTTCTTCCTAAGAATCCATTAGAGAGTTCAAATCGAGAATCATCACATATTTAGCAAGGAATGTGATTGAAAATTAAGGACTGCAAGGGTTGGTCCACAGTTGTGCTTAAGACCTAAGAGAAAATGTCAAAGTTTCTTCTTAAGGCTGCATTAGAGAGACCCAAATAGAGAATCATCATTTATGACTAAAAAAAATAAGGGTAAATAAAGCGATTGAAAAGGGATGGGTTGGTCCACAGTGGTGCATTTGTCTTCTTATGCTTTCTCTCAATCAAGGCTATTGTGCGCCTTCTGCGCCTCTGGCAACTCCATGCTTTCCTCAAGCAATGTCTTTACCTTTCTGTGATGTAATCGATGCTCATGACTCTCATTTGCCTGCCCTCCCTTTCTCTCACTTCATCTCTCTCTCTCTCCCCTTTCTCTCACTTCATCTCTCTCTTCATGTATGTGCTTTGGTACTTGGTTAATAACTGCACTATGGTGCAGGACAGCTCCTGACCAATAGGAAGCAACCATCTCAATGAGGTGGAATCAAAATTAAGTCGTCTAAGAATTGTAATAGGTATCGCGTGAATTCTGTAAATTGATTTACCAAGGTGAGTGTCATGCGCGCGCGCTCTCTCTCTCTCTCTCCTGAAAATTTTAAAGGGTAAATTACACTTACCTCTTTTAAAGTTTAAAAAAATCTTATATGTTGTGAGGTGTTTGAAGTTTATTACTTTAATTACTTTTAAGATTATAAAATATATTTTTTTAATACAAAATATATTATAAAATTTAAAAAATCAATTATTATACCTCATTTCTCTTATTACTTTCTCTCTCCTTTTCACCACTGTTGCTCTTTCCTAAATAAAATCTTATAAATTAATATAAAAAAATGAGTGTAAGGGCAACTTGGCCACTTCATGAATTTTTTTTTTACAAGTTTTGTTGGGGAGGGGAGGTTGTTGAGTATATTCTCAAACCTCAAGGGAGATTAAAATAATAAATTTTAAACGCTTCACTTATGTGAGATTTGCCTAAATCTTAAAGGAGGTCAGTGTAATTTACCCAATTTTAAATAAACATGGAAACAATAATGTAAATCATTATGCAACGTATTTATTTTATCAATTTAATAATATTCATGCAATATGTTGCATATATGCAACCACTGCAACACTATTAAATGATAAATATAACATGTTTATATGATTGTATAATCGAATTAAAAGTGTTGTGTTCTAAATTTAATGTTATTATATAGTGTTACATTCTCAATTTAATTATGTATAAAAAATATGTACTAGAGAGCATCGGGATCTAAGCTTTATGTACTTTAATTATGTAAATTTTATTTTAAAAAATTTTTATTTTTATTTTAAAAAAAGACGAGTTAATTGCCAAAAAAAAAAAAAAAAAAAAAAAAAAAAAAAAAACACTAAACATTTTATCTTTGGCATGTTACCAATCTCTACTAATTTTTAATTTTTTTTATGAAACACTAAAAAAATCAAGTTCTTGCATTTTTGATGAAAAAACTCAAAATAGCTTATTTAATTGCTAAACAAATTCCAAACTATTATTTTTTGGCACGTCATCTCCTCAGATACGGACCTATACAAGGTTCAATTGGGGAAATTTTCCCCACTGAAATGTTTTGTTTTGTTGTTACATACCTACAAATTTTCTTTTCTGTATCACATATCTATAAAATTTTAAATTAATTGCACTCACTGAAATTAAAAAAAAAAAAAAAAAGTCCAATATTGCCCTCATATCATTTTTTTAATCTTTTTGTACGTTGTTAAAGTCCACCCCCACTCACATAATTTTCTAGGTCCATCCATACGTGTCCCTAGACTACATTCTTAGCGTTTCATCCCCTTATACTATCAACCATTTTGCACTGACACCCCTTCTATTTGTAAGCCATTAGGATATAATCGTTAGACAAAAAGACTAGGATCATCTGCTGTAAGTGGGTCATGCTGTACTCATATGTTGTACAATAAATTACGCCATTTGAGGCAAGTTTTTTGAAAAGGTAATTTAAACTTGAGACAGAATTTCCCAATGGTGTTAATAGTAAACTATCAAAAAAATTAGATTCGGTTCTCTCTAATGGTACTCACCTTCTTAAATATATATAAAATAAATTTATATATATATATATATGTGTGTGTGTGTGTGTATATATATTAAGAGATTAAATAATTTCTTTATACATTATGGAAATCAATTAATAACAATCACATCAGTATGATCATGGTAAAAGGCATTTATATAAATTAATATATATATATATATATATATATATATATATATATATATATAAAGGATTGAATTCAAACTTATAACACACAAAGTGTTACCGATAAGGAAAAATAGAAAATTTATCAGATATGCATCAACCACATAATTGGATTGAAAAACATAAACATTGCTTTTGGAAGCATGGTATTCATAGCTTCGATTTGAAATTAGAATAAATCTTTCAATCTATCGGTTCAGTGATCCCAAATATAATAAAAGTGATTTAAAATAATCAAACCCAATTAAAGTGATTTATAAACTTTTAATATTATTCTCAACACCTTTAATCTTTATCTCAACACATTTTAATCTTTTTTTTGGCACCTTTTAATCCTTTTCTCTACACCTTTTAATCCTGTTTTCAATACATTTAATCTTGTTCTCAACACATTTAATCTTATTCTCAACACCTTTTAATCTTATTATTAACATCCTTAATCTTTAGTTCCACGCCTTTTAACCTTAACCTCAATGCATTTTAATCATATTCTTAATCTTAAATATGAGTAATCTGAAAAATTAATAATAAATAAATAAATCAACGCCCTGCTCAAGTAGTGAGCAGTTGTTCTATGCCAACAACAATATTGAAATGAGTTTTTATGATAGGTTTATTCAAGCAGGGCAAGGCGGCTCAAATTGATTGATTTTTTCATTTATTAATTTTTTGAAATTACTCAGATTTGAGGTTGAGAAAAATATTATAAGGCATTGAGGTAATGATTAAAAATGTGTTAAGGTAAAGATTAAAGGGTATTGAAAACAAGATTAAATGTGTAAAGACCCGGTCATTTTCCTTCTTTTACTTTTTCTGAAATTTTACGGATAAATTTTTTCCGTTGAATTTTCTTTTCTGACTTTGGTTACTCATCACTTAGTGTCGTCTCGAGTGCTCGAAAATAGTTTCTGAGACTCTTTCCTTTGGATTGACGACTTCCTTTAAGGATCGAGTCATTTCCACATTTTTAATTTTTTTGACACTATTCACTTTTCGTCTTTCCCGAGAATGATTTTCTTCGCGTAACCTCACTTTTTGTGCTCGGATTTGGTTCCGATTTTGCATGCATCCATGATATTTAAATTACATGCTTTGTGTATTTTTACTTTTTATAGAAAAGTATGCTAGTAGCTTACTTTTCCGTAAAGGGTATGGATGCATAGTTTCTTCGGAAACATCATTTATTTTTTGGGGTTTTTTCATAATTATAGAAAGTACTTATTTTATTCTTAGGGACTTTTTTGCAATTTATTTTGGAAGATATTTTCAAAAAGGACTTTTTTGTAATTACCGGAAAGTGTGACAAGTGTCGCGCTCTCGTTGGTCCACTTGACATGTGGAGGGTGGAGATTCACCCACTTGTCGGCCTAGCATTGGTACACTTGTTGGCTTGGATTGTTGACAAGTGCAGGCTTTAGATTAAGCCTAGAATGAACCA